TATGTTTTATAATTTTAAATAGCTCAATAGAATTTGGCAATACTATCTTCAAATGTAAAATTTAAAACATTATTTTTAACATGATATGGCAAGATGCAAACGTCAATGACAATTATTAAGTCGGTAGTTAATCGCATAAGTGTTAAGAAGTCACATGAACTTAAGAAATTATTGAAAAGTTTCTGCTAACAAATAATAAATTTATAAACATATAAATTATAGATGGAAATTATAGTTATTGTTGAATAAATATTATAAAAAACTAACCGCACTAGACATTCATATTGAAAATAAATATTTATGGTAGGAGTCAGATACCTAGTATTTCCTCACACAGGAATGTAGCAAGTAATTACATCTAGTATTCCGTTTATCAGTCGTATGCTAACCTTCATGCACTATCTGACTTGGCGATCTCCATAAGCGTTAATAACATATGATTGAAAGAGTTAATACTGGGATCAACTGAGAAATGAGTCTAACACAGCGAAAACATATTTCTATAAGCAATAATATTGAAATCAGCCAGAATTTTATTATATACCCGTATAATTATTATATTGTGTTACCTCCATTGTAGTTGCCGCAAATATAGAAGACTACAAACGCTATTTTTGGAAAACAAATTTTCAAAATTTCAAAGAAATATATTCGGACCATATGGTTTACAACTTATAATAAAAATATATTATGACTTTATAATAATATTTTTTATAACAGGGCTACATACAATGTGGAGATGCTGCTATATTTCATTTTATGTATATTGTGAAAGCTACATGAATTCCTTGTAATTTTTTGTATTAATAATTTTCAAAAACTTACTACTTACCAACATTCAAAATATATTAAATAGAATTAAATAGACGTTTGACTTTACATATAAAATTACAGTGGAAATTTTTCCAATCTTTTATTCACACTTACCTAAAAAGAAAAAAAAAATTTCAAAATTAAAAAAATTTAGAAATAAAGTTTTTTTTTTTAAATAAAGCTAAAAATTTTCGTATTTCTCACAAAATAAGCAAAAATAAAATTTAATTGCAAAATTCGCAATTTGATTAAGTCAATTTTTATCTATTGGAAACATTTTTCATGTTAAATGCCTAAATTAAGATAAAATTTGACCTTAAAAACTAAAGGAAGAAGAAAAAAGACATGATAAACAAAATTTATACACGATTATTTTTCTCAATTCGGTTTCAACATAGAAACTTGTAAGCATCATCAAAGAAAAAAAAACACAATTACTGCTATACTGCTAACATAAAATGCCAATAAAGTTCATTTTACTTGAAATAAAATACATGACAATCTTTTTCCAGGTTAAAATCTCCCCTTCCATACACACTTGCATATGAACATGTAAGTAGCATCTCTTAAAATAAAAATTGGGTACAATTACATAGTAGATTATGCATATACAATGTTGCAAAAAAACATTTATCAACAATGTTTATCGCGAAAATTATTGGATATATAGAGAACATGAAGTTAGAATAAATTAATTTAGTAACAAAGTATTATTTTAGAATATATTAAGAATGAATGCAAGAATAAAGAAAACTTTTACTTAAAAAAACTGTAAAATTTTAAGTGATTGGAACAGGTTTGAGGCAAATATTTGAAAATAATTCATACTTGTAAGTCACACGGACAGTTTAGTTAGTTAGTGAGATAATTAATTAGAAAAGCGAAGTGCAACCAACTCTGTCCCTCTTCCACGACACACTCTTCTCCGCCTAATTTATCCTAATCTCATATCCATACCAAACCGATATCCTCCAAAATAGCATTTTCACGTCTCTACCAAAACGGGGCACTCACAGAGCACGTGTTGCGCGTCCTTCACTACCCAGATACCTCGGCATTCTCTCGGAAAAAATCGATTAAAAAACCCTTTCTTTGCCATCTATTAAAGTGTCCCATCAAACTACCAACCACAATACCGAGATCTCCTTGCCCGTACCTCTTGGGCTACAGAGCCTTTGTCGTTGAACAAGTATAGACGCCATCTCAATTCAAGTTTTTCAATCACTTGTAATACACAAATGAGACTATATGTATAATATTCTGAATATATAATATAGAATAGAGCACGAAAAACGCATTGACGTCTGAATTGACCGCTTCAATCAACTTATTTCAAAAATTATGTTTGTTTTAACTTTTTTCTCACAGTTTTCAACCAATCCGCCTCAAGTCAGATGCGGCTTTATTTGAAAAAAAAAAACTATATTAAATAAGTTATTTAACTTTCCATATATTAAATTTCGCACGTTATATGTAGATAATTGCCAATAAAAATTACAAAACGTCTTATAATAATTTTAAAGAAATTGTTATTGTTCCTTTTCCAGTTTTTTCAACACAATACGTATATAAGTTTTAATGCTAGTAATATTATACTTTAAAATTAAATTAAAACATTTTGTATACCTGAAATGCCATGTCATTCCTTAAGAATGAAACTGTTATAAAAAATGGGAAAAAAAATAAGAGACAGATTAAAAATATTACATCTTTTTTTTTTCTTTCAACAATTTCCATTTTAACCTTACCTCCCCATTATAATTTCAAATAAGTAAATCATTTTCATTTTCTTTTATTATTGTGTAATTGCAAACACTTGTACTAATTTCACACTTGTACTAATTACTTGTATGATTTTAAAAATATTTCACATATTTTCTCTGTTTCTCTATTAAAACACACGTTAAGTTTGTCTGTATTAAAAAAAATAAAATCATTGCAAAATTATTTTTGTAATTATTTTAATAATTTTTAATTTTATTATTCTTTCTGGTCAATATAGTGAGTAGTGACCAATGTTCGCGATATTAAAAATTAAGCGTAACAGAAAAAGATCACGAGCATCATTTAGATGACATAAAAAAATGCAATTCGCAAATTGTGCAACATTCATTTGGATATTTTACATGTAGTGCCTTCGTTATTTTTCAGAATCGAAAATTTAATTCAATCATGCTATATATATTATTTTTTTTTAGGTAAATTCAGTAAAGTAGGTCGTTAAATTTAATGTAAATTCAACCTATTCAGCAATATCGTTGCAATTGCTGAATAAATTAAATTGATATCGGACTAGGATTTAGCTGTTCTTTTTTATATTGAGGTTTTAAAAACTGCAACAATACGGTATTTGAACAACATCAACAGTTGTTACTACTGTGTCACATAAAGCTTAATAATATTTTTACAGTTCTAAAGCCACTATTGTGAAAAATTTTTAAAGTGTCAAACAAAAATTGTCACATTTTGAAATAAAAAAAAAAGTTATAACTCTAGCGTTTAGAAATGTTAAATGAAATGACTTTATAATAGAAAACAACATTTCCGACTTCAGAATAACGGTAATACTCGATCGACATACAATTCAGCTTATGAATTATAATTGCTGAATTGTGTAAAAATATCAGAATTACTTTAATTTTTAACTCACAAGAATAAAATTAAAGTAGATATCTAATTTTGTGGTACAATTAAGATCAAAATATAAAGAACTATTAAAAAAAAAGAGGAAAGTCAGAAAAAATTTATTTCTATAATTGCTATTTTTTTATTCACTATAAGTGAATAACACTACAATGTGTGAATATTAATAAAAGTGAAACACGCACATTATTTTTAGTTAAGAATATAAAGAATTTATAAAGACATAGGAAATTAAAATGAAACAGCTTGGATTTTACAATTTTCATTGTTTAAGAAATATTTACTCTGCAATTTTCTAAAGAAAGTTTAAGTATGTTTAAAATATAGTAGTTTTGGTATTTATACACAATAATTATCATACAATATAATTATGATTGTTTTGACATTAATTGGATATAGTGAATTTGGTATCATTTTAATATTGTATTTAAATTATATTAGAATGAAGCGTATAATACATACAAATGTACAATGGAGCAAAGAATCATGTGAATCTTTGAAAAAATTTTCATTTACTTTAATTTTATTAAATTTTTGCATGCATGCACAAATCATGTAACTTTCTTTTAAGATTGGCACATCTAATCAAAAAATTCTTCTCATCCGGAAATAATATGTGATTTTAGTACATCTTGTCAAGACTATTTTACAATATGCAATTTAAAAAAAAAAATGATTTTAGAATTAATTTATAAATTAAATTTATATTAGATTTTTGAACACTAACTAAGATATAAACACTAATTAAAATCAAAACATTGCATTCTTCTGAAAAATTGCCTATATAGACTAATCTGAACTAGTGGAGAATAGTTTGTAAATGCAACAATCTAGCTGTATACTAGTACCAACTTACCTATAAGTTTTATTGAAGTTTTGATGTTTTTCACATTAAAGCCATCTATCGGAATAAGTGTGCATATTTACTCTTTTTAACGGCTGTCTGGGACATTTGGTGTATAATTACACATTTAGGGTAGTATATCCCCTGAATGGAACACTGTTTTAAGTATGTATTTCTTCGTTAATCGCTGCATTCTGGTATAAAAATTCTTGATATTATATTTAATTTTCCTTTAATTCCAATAAAATACGTTCGAAATGAAAAAATTAAATGGAATTCTGTAATCATACTCCGACCTCATATTGTTTCAAGAAATTTTATAAAATATTTTTTAAACAAAAAAAAAATTAATTCCGAATTCAATCAAAAACTATCGATACTTCAAAGAATTTTTCAAATTATAAACAAAATTCATTTTACGAGTAAATATAATTTTAAAATGGTAGCTAGCTTTGTTCTTAGAATTATTTTCAGTAAAGTAGTACATAATAATTTTGTAATTGAATACTTCCTTTTGTAAATACAAAAATTTAGTAAGTTGATGTTGCCAAATGGATAATCATACAATTTTTGTTTGAATTCGTATGAATTGATATGCATAAGTTCTTATTAATTACCATTTTTATTCTAAAAAAAATATTTTTTATTTTAAAAAATCATGAAGAAGTTAAATATAAAATATAGAAAGTTTTTTTTTTAGTTATAGAGCTGACATTATCGAAATGAGATATTCAACTGTAATGAAAAATAAAGCAATTGATGAAAGTAAAAATTGTTGCTGAAAGATCGGAAGATTTTGCTGTTACTATGCAGTTTGCGTATTATACGGTATAATAAAAGTAGATTGTAGATTACTAAAAAGAGATATGGGGAAAGGAACTCCTCCCATATAACAATCGCATTCAGCCATGCCTTATTGGAGCCCTTTCATATTCTATTTTTTATAAATACCCGGCGATATCACACAGGAAGTTGGACATGAGCTCCCCCAACGCTTCAAAAGACTATATTTCAAGGGATAATCCAAGTAAGTATTTGAGCATAAAATTAAACAATTGTTATAGCTAGGTTTGAAGAATGGTTGTAGGATAGTATTAAAATGCTACCAATGCATGCTACTTGTTGACATAAAATATATAGGTAATTCTGTTTCCCAAAATATGTATTTATATAGGTATATACGTTACAAAAAATTGCAAATTTATTTTGACACAAGAATACCTTAATAATTATTTCTGTTTCCTCAAATACTCGACATAAATAATGTTAGTCTTTTATTCTTTGACTGCAAAAATGATTGTCTTTCAAACATATTTTCAAGTATCATAACAAAATTTTTATTACCACCCAATTCGTATGAAATTTGCCTCTTTATATTTTTTTTAATAAAAATTACTAAGAAATTACGAGAATCGAATAGATATTATAAATTCATTTGAAATGTATTTAATGCAAAAACACTTGCACATACTGCAACACAAGAAATCATACCTAGTGACTTAATGCTGAAAACAAAAACCTAGCGTGAAAAAATCTAACAAAAGAAAAATTAAATAAAAAATATTGACGCCACCATCATTAGGTGTCATGAAATTGCAATTATATTTTTTTTTTATTATTAGGAAATTCAGTTTGATTGACAGTGTGGTTTCATTCAGTAATTTTTCTTTTTTTGTTATTTTTTTTTCATTTACATTATTTTTAATATAAATTGACCATGTTTTTATGCGCAATAATTGCATGTTTATATGCAAAAGGAAAAAGTTCATTTTTATTAACAAGAAATTCATTTAAATTATTAAGTAAAAAACATTTAAATGCAAGTAATAAAATTTAAAGCGCGTATCCAAATGGTATTTAATAATTTCTCATTGAGACTAGACAATTAATGAAAAAATGAGCATTTTTAGGCGGTCAGCGTTCTAATAACTAAATATGAATAACAAGAAGGGTTTAATTGTTATTAACCAATTATTTATAATTTAAATGCATTAAAACATCATTATTATTATACGCTTGCACATATACATTATAACTAATTGAGTGAAAAAGCGTGATAGTTTAAAAATTTCCATAGAATTTTTGAACGTGATATAATCGTGATTAAAGATTGTACTCTTATAAAGATTATACCTGTTATGTATGTGATAGGACATCATTATAATTATAATATTTATTTAATATAAAAAATATTTTAATTCTTTTTTTTAATTTAAATTCATTACAATCTCTAACTTCGACATTGCGCAGTAATACACTACTAATACACAATTCAACTATTCGCTATTGCAATAATGCAGCATTAATACAGAATTTGAGCATATTCGTTCTAATAGACAATTGGTATACACTGCGTTCAAAAGTTCAACTCCCAATAAAATGTCAAACATATGACAATAATCGTTAAGAATAGAAGAGATTTTGCCGAAAATTGAAACAAAAAAAAAAAAACCAACAATATAAAAAAATTTAAATGTCACCGCAGACATCTGCCATTATTAAAATTATTAAAAATTTATTGTTCAATTCAATTTATAATATCTATTTAACTTGTTAATGACCTTTCTCATAATCACACGGTTTGAACTTTAAAGAACGCGCAACCCGAAAAAAAGGTATTTGAACTCCATAAAAAAGTTCTATATAAATTTTCACTTGTACATTTTTTTTTATCATTAAATTCAATTATTTTATTTTTCCCTGTTTCATTTAGCATTAAAGAGAAATGTGCGCGCAAAAAAACAAACGCAAATGAAAAATAAATCACCAGACTATATAATTTTTTTTTTAAATTATATTGGAAATGATCGTTTAACACTTTATAAAAAAAGATTATATACCGGATGTTAAATATTATTATGGTTATTATCACTTTATTCACTAATAGGTTAATATTTATGCGTTTCTGCAGTATAGTGAATACATCTATATACATGTATATTTATATTAGTCAATTATTAAAGTATAGGATTACGGTAATGATAAGATTACGATGAGAAGAATTTGTATTGATTAAAGTAGATTGCACTTTTCAAGTTAGATATATGAATGATTAGATATTAAACATAAAAAATTTTTTTTCTTACTATGCTTAGACTCATAAATGTGCGATGCCTAATAATATTTGTGCGTGATCCAGTAAATTGCATTGTATAGGACGGAGATAAAAGTATTTGGTCTGAATATGGAATTGGAAAGAATTCGCCAGGCATCGGTTGAACATAGAAAGGTTGTATTAAAAAATGCAGCACTGAAACATTGGTCATGAAGAATAATATTGGACATTGTCATCTGGACGTAGGTAAAAATGTTGAAACTGGCAATATTTTTGTGCCTATACTTTAACAAAATGGGAAGTTGAGAAAACAAATACTATCGCATTCGTCTTTTACTGCTTCCCAATTTTTAATGATGAAACTAGAAAGCAGCAATGTAAACGCAACTCATATTGGGAATAATGCTAAGGAACGTGGAGAAATGAAGAGTGATAGTGAAATATATAGATATAGTGTTACGCAGGAAAAGTAAACCAAAATTTCCGCACGATCCAAAAGAAAGGCAAAAATAATAAAGAAAACAACCTAGAAAGGTACGATTCGTTTAGTAACTATCTATAGTTCTTGTTTCTCAATCAAATCTAACTAACAACCAAAATTAGTTAATAGATTAAAAACCTCTTCAACTTTAAAATATTTCGTGATATCAAATTGGTACACATAGAATTTTAAACTCTTCCAAAATTTTTTTTATAATTTTTGCTTAAGAAGAACATTCTTCGAAATGCTGAATTAATTACATAACAAAATGGTCTAGATTTTGTACAAGACAAGGAACACGTACCTATTTAAATTTAAAAAGAAACTGTAATAGAATGAAAAATTTTGCCGGTAAAACTGTTAAAATTAAATAATTACAAGATGTGACTATGATTTTTAATGCACAAGTTAAAAATTATACATAATATGCAAACATCTTGGAAAATTGATTATCATACATGCAGGACACATACATGACTTTGATATTATTTTATTTTTAAATGCTTAAGTGATCATTTGAATTTTATGTCATCTTCATAACTCGCATATTATATGTTTGTTTCTTTATCATTAGATCACTTGTAGTATAAGAAAATCTGTATTCACATATGTGTTTACTATTATTGAACTACCGTTACTCTTACCTGTTTAAAATCTTTAATGTTAAACAAAATAAATTACATAAAATATAATTTTTTTTCTTCCAACTTACTTAACAAAATATAGTGGTACGCTTATGCGAGCATATGAATATATTAAGTTACAACAAAAAAAGAGAAAAAGAGAAAGAAAATTTTTATTAGAATTTCTTATATAATAATTTAATTTGCAAAAAATTTAATTTTCATTACAGAAAATTAAGTTAAAAAATTTAAGCAAAAATATGAGAACAGATTATATCACAAGTGATTCACCTGCTGTATGTTTGTTTGTATGTCTCAAGTGGAAAAATTGTAAATTAATAAATATATACATATTTACACATACATGTATGTATAGATATGTTACATTCTGTAAATATGAAATATATAAGATTTACTTACATACATTTATAATATTATGTTTATAAAAATGTTATATTGCTATAGCTATGATTATGGTGTAAATGAGCCTCTTTGATAAAACTTATTCAGATATGCACTGTTGATTTTATATGCACGAAAAGTGAAAATTATAAAAAGAAAATAATTATAAATATATTTACTTGACATTTAACTAAAAATAAGATTAAATTAGAAAAATATTCCACGTAAGAAAATTTAATACTTTCTTAAACGTCATAAGAACCAACCAATTTTAAAATTCTTAGAAAAGTGATGCTATACTGAACACATTGTAGAGAATATTAAAATGATAAAATGACTGTATGATGTAATTATAATTTTTAAAAACTAGGATGAGGGTTATTACGTTTTCAAATTTTTGGCGCCTCAAATTCTCCAGTCGAATTATATAAATACTTCGATAGTTTGTAAATAGAACGCTGCTTTATACAGGAATTCTTTCATACAACTAATCTATTAATTAAAACACATACTCGTATTACAAAATAGACGTTTTTATATAAAAATATGAAGAAATCTAGCAGAATAGGTACGCTACTTCCCTCAAGTCAAGTCCTCTCCCAATAGACCGTTGTTATTTAATAAGTGTCATGTCAGTCAAATAAAGCAATATATTCCAAAGGACTTCTTATTTCAATTGTAATTGCTAATGAGTAATGACAATATATTGTCTACCACAAAGTTCACAATATTGTTCAAAATTACTTATAAGTCTAATTCTAAAATATTTATCTTGACTATCGTGAATAGTCAAGTAAATAATCCAAATAGATACTAATAATAAGAACATTTTTCCTTTTTAAAGTCAAAATTTTAATAAAAGAAAAAGAGTTCTTTGACTTTGAAAAAAATACTTTCACTATATACAAAACTCGTTTTTTTTATCTTTTAAGTGATAAGATAAATTTGATTAAAAAATTTATGAAAAGTAAATGATATTTTAAATATTTAAGTAACCCAAATTCATGAAATTCTTTTAGTTTTTACCTACATTATTTCAATTATGATAACATTTTATTGCCGGCAGGAAGTGTAGTATTCAACATAAAAGAATTTTATTAATGACATTAATTTACTTTGATTTTATTATCAAAGCGGGTTGTTATAATACATACATATAAAGTGTTTGTCATTTTAATTGTTATACAGCACGTGTATTATAAAAACTATTCAAACAGTTTCCAAATATTAAACAAACAGTTTCCAAATATAAATATGAATTCGAGTGATTAAATACGATCTTTTCAATTTGTTCTATATCAATAAATTGCAATTAAAAATTTCAAAATTCTATAATGAATAAATTCGAATAAAGTATCGCAACTGGATATTATGCAACTATACGTCAATCATAATTAACTAAATTATTTAAATTAAAATTTTAAAGTTCTATGGAATGATTGCTTTCGCTTTATTATTTATAATGAAATAATCTTGTTGAATAGCGTAATGTTAAATATGTTTTGAATATAAAAATTAAACATCATGAAAATCGCAAAAACCTGTCCATGAAAGTTAATAAATTGTGACGTATATTTAGATTTAGCATTTATTAATCGAATTCATGTACCACTCTTATCGCGAAATTAATCTTAATTACGAATATATAATTTTATTCACATAGAGACCATTATTTTATAGGGGCAAAAATCAGATAAACTTAAAATTAAATAATAAGTTGTATGTTCCACTTTATGATTCATGTAAACAACACACGATTAAAGATCAACATGTCCAAAAAAAAAAAAATTAAACAAAAACAATAATAAAAAATTTTAGACTTTAAACCTATCGAAAATTTTTATATACTTACACATTCAGATACAATATAAAGGTATCTTCAATAGCAAAAAAATGTTTACTTTAAATGAACTCTTATAAACCGTTATATTATGTTTATAATTAGATGTATGTATATATATACAATGATTTGTATATCATTTTACTATAAAACAGTAAAAAAGTTTTAAACGAAATATAAAATAATGTAAAAAGAAAAAACAACTCAATAAATTTTCCATACCACTGAGTAACTAATCTTAAATTATCATAACACCCCTGATCTACAATGTATTATTTAATACACAAATACTACATACATATATAAATACATGCAAATAATATTTTAATGTCTGGCTGAAATTCTTGTACTGGAGAAAATTCATGTGTATCATGAAATGAACCTGAATTACCGTAATAGTAATAGCCAAGATATTATTATACTTCATCCGACCTATGTCTGTAAGTGTATGTATAGCATTAAATATATTATTATAATATTGTTTCCTATACTTCTACATTTATATGTGAATCATTTAGAAAAATAAAATATTTAACAGTATTTTTACTGTTTACATTAAATTTTAATCAAGATTAAAATCAAATATAAACCCCTACAAAACTAAATGATGTTATACATTCTGTATTAAGGATATTCTAATACAAGTTCAGATTAATTTACAAGATGGTTATGTCCATATTGAAGTTTCATGTAAATTTTCTACTAATTTTAATAATTAATTACAAATACAAAATTTATAACGAGTTTCGTGTTCTTTCCCGATATTGGAATAACCGAAAATAATCGACACAATATGACGTATGTTCAGTTTATTTTTTTTTTTTATCACACTCGATAACTAAATATCGATACTCGATTATTACTTGAAATCCTTAATATCACGTTGACAGATTTACAATAGAACGTAATAAAATGTGAAAGACGAAAGTCCTCATATTTTTCCGCAATTTTTTTTTTATATAATTAAATATTAAATAATAATTAAAACAATGAAAAATAATGTAAAATAAACTTTTAGGGACCTTTGATTTAATTGAACTTGAAAAAGACGAAGAAAAATTGAATTACACTTCTTTGATTTAAACTTTGAATGTAAGTATAAAATTAATGTTAAATTTTAGTTTTCATAATTAAATCTTAATTTTAGGTATCTATCGACTATACATGGATAACTTTGCTGCTCGTATAATTTTAAGAATGTTCAACAAAAAGATCTGATGTGAAATGAATTATGGACACAGTTAAGATTTAAAACACCCAAGCAGTATATATTCCTGAAATAATTTTTGAATAATAAATTCATATCTATGTAGGCACATACATACACAATATGTATGTATATATGAGTAATTGAAAAGAAGTGAAAATTAGCATTAAACTGTGTTTAGCAAACACATATATTTTTTTGGTTACATATACATACAACATCAATGGTCTTACGGAATTTTCAGATTCATTGAATTTATTTTCCTGTAAAATCAAAATCAAAAGTTTTGTCCAAATTGTAAAAATTCACAGATTATCGAATTAGTTACGAAACGAATGGGTTAAAAATTATTTGAGGATTTAATCATATTTCTTGAATCTTTTTCTTATATTTTTTTTTCATTTTTTTAGCTTCCGATAAATTACCTATTATGTGAACAGGTGAATAATTATGTACCATTAGAACATATCTACATGCATGAGTATTCCCTATACAAGTATTACATAATTTGCATATTAAAATAAAACTTAAAAAAAATATATAAGATTTACTGCTCAAAAAACAACAAGAAAAACAAATTATAATCACTCTTTAATTCATTTGCTAAAAGACCGTATCCAGAAATATTATGTACATATGTACGTAAATAAAATAAAATGATATACAAGAAATGATAACGTTCTCAAATAACTGTAAAATGTATCATATATGAATGAGTACATACGAATGGATTTTTTGAAACATTTTTCAAAGTAGGAAGGTTATGAAAAATAAATTAAATGCAAACGTAGATCGAAAATTCCTTAAGTAAAGAAAATCCACTATATGTATGTATATTGCGATATCACAAATCAGACAAAAAATTATTTAAACAATTTTAATAGAGTAATTTTAAAATTCTTTTTTTTTTTAAGTTTAATGAATGGAATTTCAAGCATGTATGAGCTTTTGAAGATTGTGAATCCCGCTTGTATTAGTAAAATATCAAATAAATTCAAGATGCGTTAAAAATTTCTTATTTTAATGGTAGGTATATAATATATATGTATGTAATATAAATTTAACATGTATAATATTTTGTAGTACACATTATAATGGTTGAAACTGTATACTAGTAATTTGAACTGAACTTAATAATATTATGACTTCAGGAAGAAATAAATCAGTGAATTGGAAAAATTAATATTTGCTGTTATGGTCATTGAATTTCTATATTATGTAGCTAATTTTCATTGGAATTATCATATGAAGTATATACCCACACATGTATGTATAAATGCACAATGCGATGATCTTTAAAGTTCCAAGGATGAAATTTTTGAAAATTTATTTGTATGTACAAATGTATTAAAATTTTTAAGTCAATTAATTTTGCATATAGATACTTATATACTTGTAATATGTTTAAAAATTTGTTAAAAAATTTTTAATATACATATCTTAAATGGCTTTAATTGTAAATTTATACGACAATTTACTAATTAATTTTATTTAATATTACAATAAATTATTGTAAAACTTATGTAATAAGCATTGGATGATATGTGTGTATGCATAATGTATTATGTAAGAAATGAATTAGGTATTATTTTAAAAATTTTATTCTGTTTAAAGTAAATATTAATTTCGCTAAAACAGAATTACAAATTTTGTAAAACTTGTTACAAATTTACATAATTTAATACATTTTTGTTTGTTGTCATCTTTTAAAAGAAAGAGGTTGGGTTCATATTGATAGTTGTAGTAAAAACAGTCCTACTTTTAAAAACAGTTGACAAAACTGCATAAATGACAATTGATTTTTTAAGCTAATTAATGCTTTTAAAATTTATTCAAAGGAATTAAAATATTAACTTACATTGATTCCTCCATCTTCACTTCATGTTTATAACCTTTCAATTAAAAATTTAGGTTATATCAGTCAATAAGAGAGTAGATCTTTCAAAGTTCTTTACACAAAAACGATCTACATTTTGCAGCGTTGTCATAAAAACGCTCTACATTTTAAGTTCTAAATAAAATCTGCTAACGTAAACTTAATTAGATTTAAATTAAATATTAAAAGATAAATCTATATTAAAATTAAAAATTGTTAAAATTTCATTTAACCGTGGTAATCAAAAAATTTAATTTACAAATTAAATATTAATTAATTTTAAAGTTTTTTAAATTTTTAATCTATGTATGTATTAAGTATTTTTAATGTAGTTTTAAATTTATAATTTGCTCACATTTTTAGTATATAAGCTCTATCCTTACAATTAATAGTTCTGAAAACAGACGTTGACTATACTTTTTAAAATCCCATTCCAGATTATGAAATAAACTCAAAACAAATTTTATGTGTTTAATAATTATGTAAACCAATAAAATGATTTAAAACTGAATAATGCCGAATCAGTAATTTGACATTAAATCTTGATTTTCATATATTCCCAATAAGTTTTACAAAATTTTAATTTTATAAAATTCGGGAAAAATTTATGTATGTAGGTATGTAGATATAGATTTACTATTTAATTTTTTTTTATTAAAGAATGTAAAAGTAAGTAAAAGTAAAATATTTAAATTATGTTAAATTTAATTTTATTTTTCTGTTTCTTTTTTATTCTTATATAAATTATGTAGGTAACATACAAGTACAAGTATATAAGGTTAAATTTTCATTTCTTTTATAAAAAAAAAAGACTAAAAGTGGTTCAAATTCCTTTTCATAGCGTTTTTTTTTCTTTTTTTGTGTATTTTTTCATATTATTTTTTTTTCTTGTAAACAATATGGAAAGGCGAATTCCATTAAAACCACTCGCTTATTTGAAAATTGATTAAAGTAAAAAAATAAAAATAATAAAATAAAATAAGAAGGTTATAAAGGTATAAAAAAAGCTAGTTATATCTTGTCTTAATAAAATGTAGTTTGTTGTTATTATTGTTATTGTATTTTTTTTTTATGTTTCAAACCACATTTTTACTAAAACGTTAAATTGAATTTAATGAGCCATTAATAATTTACCATAGGTATTTATTAAAAAATTTATAGAATTATTTCAAGTTACTTTCTTCACTTTGAAGACTCGGTGTATTACTTACAAAGTTTATTGTATATAAATGTATACATATATTTTAGTATACAGTAAGAAAAATATAAATTTACCATTATACCAAATGATTATTGTACATTATAGCTATAACAATTGCTTTTAAATTAAAACGACTATAGCGATGATGATTTTCTTCATTGAAACAGCAAAAAAATAAAATAGTAAATAATTTTTTTCTAATACCTACACAGAAAAAAAACCAGCAACTAATAAGTCTGGTATTTAGAAAGTAATCTTTTTAAGTAAAAGTTTTTTAACGACAAAATTATATAAAAAAAAGTATAGAGAATAAATAATTAGAAAAGCGAAGAGAAACAGAAAAAAAAAACCATTCTTTTTGGCGATCTTCAAATTCCTAACTTTTTTTTTTATTTGTTTGTGTACTTATAATTTATAAATGGCATTTTTCTTGATCATTTTTAGTTTCTGATAAAATCGTAAAAAAATAGTTAACTTAAACTCTATTCCATAGTGCCAGTGAAAGCTTAAAATAGTTTGGATTTTTTGTTGTTTCTTTCGTATAAAAATTCTTCTTTGCAAATTTTGGTTATTTATTTTTGAAAAACCGTGTTTATAAGAAAACGAGTTAATTTAAAATTATTAAAATATTTTTATTTCTCTCGCATTTTATGCTTATAAATTGAAATAATTTTGTAGATTTTAAGTTTTTATATTTTACTTTAATCTTAAAATTTTAAACGCTTAATTATAAGCACTTGATTTAAGATTTTTGAATTAAGTTAAAGGAGTTTTGTTTTTATTTTTCTACATATCATCAATTAAACAAATTTAATGAAATTATATTTTATGATTCACAGAATGCTAACTACACCGATGGAAAAAGATGACTTAAAAACAGAAGAAAACTTCGTACTGGACATAGTAGTCAAGAATGGTTATTCGATTGAAGCTAAAATGAATAAACTCATTAGAAGCTATAAGAGCACGTAACAATAAACTCGATTGAAGCTATAAGAGCACATAACTTGTTACTTGTTCTTTTTAAAAACGGGTATCTTTCAATTGTGATTTTCATATTCAACAAATTTCATAAATATCGGAAACCATCAACTAAGAAGCTTGTTAAATTTGGCCAAGAATAAAATGAAAATACTTGAGAGATGCGGTGTATATAAAATCAAATGCAGTGATTACGACAAAATTTACATAGCGCAAAAGACCTATAGTTATAACAAAGCTAAATGAACATTTAAATGAGATATACACATTTAATAAGGACTACCTACTGAATACGGAAGAAGCAAGTGCAGTTACCAGTCTTTTTAAATTAATTTTCTTGGCCAGTTTAAGGTTTAAAACAGGTATTATTTTATTTTTTAATAAATATTATAATTATTTTATTTTTTAATATATAAAATAATAGAAAAAGAAAAATTAAAATTAATTGATTATAAATTTAGAGTTAACGTTAAATTACGTCAGGTGTCAAGAAAATCAAAAATTCAAATCTTACGTTTCTTTTTTTTTACCAAAAAGCAACAAAACAAAACTTTGACTAAATTTTTGACATTCATGTCTGCAGCCTATTTTTTATTATCTTTTCCAAATCGTTGTGAAGAAAAACAGAACTTGTATAAAATTTGAAATCTTCAAATGATGAAAGAAATTGTGATTAAATTTTTTAATAACAAAAAGTATTGCAAAACACTAAAATATTCTGACATAAACACTATTATAAAATATAGATTTTATAATTTTCCCTCAAATTTATATAACATTAATTTTTATATTCTAAAGGAAAAATATAATTTTCATTACAGGAATACAATTATATTTAATAATAATCTATTTCTCTTGTTATTAAACTAAATACATAACGGTTATAAAATATTTATCATGAGAAAAAAATTTTTTGTTTTTTTTTTTTTCAAATTAATCTCATTCTTAAATTTTTGATACACAAACATACCTAAATCACTTCCCCTTATTTATCAATATGATTATATTGAATTTATTCAAGTGCTAAAATATAATATAGAGAAAATTGTTTAACCAAAAATAAAATTAACCGACATTTTGCCAATTTTTGATAATAGCGTATAATTTTGTCATTAAAATATAAGAGGAAAGAGAAAACAAAAAGGAAAATTTTTTTTTGTTTTTTTTTTTTTTTCACACACTTCGTCGCGATCGTATTTATTTTGACATAATTCTCTTCGTACGCCATCTTTAGAAAAAAAAATTAACTAATTCTTATTCTTATTTTTGTCATTAAATTTGATCTTGCTCTTCAATCATTTCATTCATTCATAATATTAAGCTAAGAAAAGAAAAAATTTTATCAAAATTTGAACTACAAGTGATTGACCCTCTTAAAGATCACCTGTTTTTAAATATCTAGTTTTGCAACAGTACTTGGGTAATATAATTTTTATATAATATGAATGTGTGTACTTATTTATATTTTTAACAATATAATTTACTATTTTATACTCTTAAAAATGATGTTATTTTATTCGTAAAAGTAGCGCTATATAACAAAAAATATTATGTAAAATAAATGGGAAGATAGAAGATCAATAGACATAAAAAAAAAATTATTATTTACTCTACTCTGATTGTTTGTTTTTTTGTTTTATTTTTCCTTCTCATCATTATCAATAAAACACATCAATCAATATTATTATTATCAATAATAATCCATATAAATTTTATTCATCCCATCATTATTAAAAAATTTCTCTGTTTACATGTTTATACATATTGAGCACAATGGATATACTTACATACATAAACAATTACAATATTCTATTTCTATTACTTACAAAATGTTCCTAGATATAATATTAAGTATAATCTAAATCTAATATTGTACCTGTAAACACAATAAACAAAAAAAAAATTCTAAGAATAAAAAAAAAAAAAAGAAGTTGAGAATTTCTATCAAAACTCATTCATCCATATTATGAACCCGTCACATACAAGAGATCACCAAAAGCATAAAAAGTAAAAAAGTATAAAACCAACCAAAAGTACATAAGAAAAACCTAAAAAAACTGCTAAAAGAATGAATTCATAAAGAGAAAAATCAACTAAACACACCACACACTATATTATAGACTATAGAGCATTTATAACAAACACACCGTTTTTGAGTTTTTCAACTTCAAGTATAACACCAAAAAGATTAGAAT